GGGTTAAAGGCTTGCACTATTGGTTCTGAATGCTGATTTGACCAGAATTACGATGCAATTCTATCGACAAGGATGGTCCAGTAGGAAAGAGAGAGAATGCTTATGTTATAATGTGTAAAGGGGTGAACAGTAGTTATATAAAGGAACTAAACTCTCATGTTTCATGGTGAGATGTTGTTGAAAACTGAAATGACCAAAAAACAGCAGCTATTTAAAGCTTGCTAATTAAAGCATCTAAAGATGAAAAAAGAAGAGGGTAATCTTACCATTTTAGGGTAAGATGATTTAGAGCAATATTTCTAATGCTTCAATCCTTTACTACAGTTCCTCATGTTGTGATGATTCCCAACCATAAAATTATTATTATTTCTGAGATAGGGTCTTTTCTGTGTAGCCCTGGATGTCCTGGAACTCACTCTGTAGGCCAGGCTGGCCTCAAACTCAGAGATCTATCTGCCTCTGCCTCCTGAGTGCTGGGATTAAAGAGGAGTGCTCAACTACCACCAGCCATAAAATTATTTTCATTGCTACTTCATAACTGCAATTCTGTTACAGTTATGAATCATAGTGAAAATTTTTTTTGAGACAGAGGTTTGGCAAAGGGGTTGCAATCCACAGATTGAGAACCCTTGGTCTGGAGGATTAAAAGCTCATGCTTTGCAAGGTAATGGCATGTCTTCATTCTCCATATCAAAGGGAGAGAACCCATTTCCCAAGTTGTTCTGCCCTACAGATATACACTGTAGCATATGTGTGTCTATCTTTCCCCACACAAAATAAAGACAAAGTTTAAAAGAGTAGTGGTTTTCATAAAGCAGGGAAGAGGAAGAACAGAATGAAAAATAATTCTCCCAATTATTTAGTATACTTTGATTATTTTTATCATGTGAACATATAACTTTGATGAAAATAAAAAAAACAAAGTTGTACAGAAAATGCACTAAATTCTGACATGAAAATTTGCTTAAAAAAATCACACTAGCTAATCTTCTTTAAAGTCAGACAACAGGACCAAAGGGCTTTCTTTGAACATTTCACTGGAAGATTTTGCTTGTTCAAACTAGAAAAGGCACTTTTTATTTTTCCTGGTGAAAAAACTGTAAATTTCATTGAAATTTTGGATATAATTAACAGTGTATTAAAAGCATTAGTGATGCTGGCTTTTAAAAAGCTTATCAGGGCAAACTTTGAGTAGACAATTTAGCAGCTTATATTGGTTAAATTGAGGTCCATAGGTTGACAGAAAGCTTTAGGTCATTGCAACACTCAAGAGGAATGTGTTGATTAATATTTTTTTTTTGTCAACTAAGCTAGTGTCATCTAAGAGGGCAGCTCAGATGAAAACAAATGCCTCTGGAGACTGGTCTGTCAGCAAGTCTGTGGAGCATTTGTCTTGACTAATGACTGATGTGGGATGGTGCAGCCCACTGTGGGCAGGGCCACCCTGGGCAGTTGGTCCTGAGTGATGTAAGAAAGCAGGCTGAGCAGGCCTTGGGGAGCAAGCCAGTAAACAGCACTCCTCCATAGTCTTGGCTTCAGTTTTTGCCTCCAGGATCCTGACCTGGTTCCTGCTCTGACTTCCCTTGATAATGGACTGTGGTGTGAAACTAAGCAAAATAAATCCTTTCCTCTCCCAAGTTGTTTTTGGTCATGGTATTTATCACAGTAATGGAGAACAAACTAAGACAAAGGATTATGAAATAGCATTTAAAAGTTGGAAGTCTTTCAAACTGTCTGAACATACCATGCACCCGCAGACACATTACCTTGGGTCTTTTGGGCCACAGCAATCCCTTCCACTACAAGTACTGTTATTAGCAACACTAGAGAAAGAACAGAAAAGAACAGTTAAAAAGGTTTAATTTATATTACATTTTACTAAAAGATTAATGACTAAAATTACTTTTTTGTTTGTTTTTTCAAGATAGGGTATCTCTGTGTAGCTTTGTAGTCCAGGTTGGCCTTGAACTCAGAGAGATCTGCCTGACTCTGCCTCCTGAGTACTGAGATTAAAGGCATGTGCCACCACTGCCCGGCTCTAAAATTACTTTGTAAACATGGGTTTTGTTATGGAGGCTAAGCTGGCTTTCAACTCAAAATCTGCCTTCCTTTATCTCCCAAGTGCTAGGATTATAAACATGTGCCACCTCACTTAGTTTAAAAATCACCATTTCTTACCAACATTCACTACTGAGTCTTTGAAATACTAAATATTATGCCTTTGCACTGGCGAGAGAGCTGGCTCATTGGGTAAAGGTGCTTGCCACTGAGCCTGATAGCCTCAATTTGATTTTTGGTATCTATATGGCGGAAGAATGACTTCTGAAAGTTGTCATCTGACCTCCCATGAGTACTATGGTGGGAATGTGTAAAAGCTTGAACATGCAAACACATACTCACGCACACATAATCACAATGTACATAAGTGTTATATTCTGATTTACTATCAAACAACTAAAGAAAAGTTGTAACTGATTTTCTACTTATTTATATAAACACTAATAAATATTATGTGGCATTTAAAACTTTTCTATATGAAACAAGCCCATGTATGTATGTATGTATGTATGTATGTATGTATGTATGTATGTATGTATGTATGTATTGTGCAGGTTTTTGCTAAGCCTGACTACTCCATTTACTCCACCGGAAGTGTGTTTATGCACTTGGCTAGCTGTGCAGTGTTATACCAAAGCTCAACTGGATCACCTGACTTCCAGAAGTCAGCTGGAACTGCTATTGTGAATCACTGTGCTGCAATTTGTGTTCTAACAGGAAGCCATATTCAGACACGATAGTTATTTCACTCCTCATCCTCAAAATTTGAGACCCAACAAACAATATACTCTTTTTGGTGTGTGACCTGAAGTAGTTACTAGACTTTCAATTACAACAACAACCACCACCACCACTGTAGGCTTTTGTTTGTTTGATTAAAGATCCCATATCAAAATGAACAATCCTTTTTTTCTTTTAAATTCCCATTTTAGGTGTGGTGGGGTATGTCTTTAATCCCAGCACACAAGAGGCAAAGGCAGAGGGTCTCAGTGAGTTCTAGGACAGCCAGGGGTTACACTGTGAGATCCTATCTCAAAACAAAACAAAATAAAACACTTCCCATGTTTATACTGGAACCAAGTTAGAGGAACAGAGCCTGGAACTTAAAAACAATAATCCCAACAAAATTAGATTTATGAATAAAAAAAAAACAAAGCAAACTCCTTGTCCCAAAACATTAGGGATTAGAAATTCACCAAGTAAAACATCCATTTATGTCAGTTATCCTCTCAGAGAAATCTTCCACAGTGTATCATTCAGATGACACACAACTGCTCAAAAATTTTGTTCGTGTTCCTTTCCTTCATAAATCCCAGGTACAGTTATTAATCAGTTTTCAAATTTATAAGCAAGTGACACAAAGACAGTAGGCAGGGTAAGGAATCAACAAATGGGCTGGAGAGGTGGCTCGGGGGTTAAAAGCACATAACCTTGCAGGGAACCTGGGCTTAAGTTCCCAGCACCCACATGGTGGTTCAAAATGATCTGTAACTCCAGTTCCAGTGGTTCTGACACCCTCTTCTGGCCTCCAACGGCACCAGGTACACATGTAGTGAACATACATAATGCAGGTAAAACATTTATAAATATAAAATAAAAATAAATAATCTTAAAAAAATCAACAAATAAAAGCAGGAGACCAACAGTACAACTATGATTAAAAAAAAACTGTGTCAAAAATAAAAACACAGTAGGCAATAAACACTCATACACAAAAAAATAAAATTTAAAAACAAATAGTTCTGGGATAGTACATTAGTCATAGAAATAGTTGGGCAGTGATGGCACATGGCTTTAATCCCAGCACATGGGAGACAGAGGCAGGTGGATCACTGTGAGTTTAAGGCCAACCTGGTCTACTGAGTGAGTTCTAAGACAGCCAGGGCTAAACAGAGACTTTGTTCCAAAAAAACAAAAACAAAACACCCCAAAACAGACCAAACCAAAAATAAGTCCCAGATTTGGATGTGTGTGAATAATTTCAATAAAGAAAAAAACAAATACTTTTATTTTGCACACATTATTAAAATATTTAATACACACATTTATTTTACATGCACATGGGAAAAATGGTTGTACCATTAGCAATATGTACTAAAATGTAAAACTAAAAAAAATCCAGTTTTACTAATATTAAACAATATAGATCTGGGGCTATGGTGATGGTTCAGAGGTTAAGAGCAGTAATTGCTCTTCCAGAAGACCCAAGTTTGCAGCACTCAATGCCAATGACTCAAAACTGCCTGTAACTACAGCTCTAGGAGATCCCACAGGTCCTTAGAGTTTCCTTGAACTTCTGCACACATATGGCATACATTCTCTGTCTCTCTCACAACATTCACTCTAATGAATATTTAAATAAAAACATAGTTTTTAATGAAAACAAAAAAATCACTAGGAGAAATTTTAAGGCAAAAAGAGACTTTCATCAAGCAGTTTGCAAACTGGGGAGACAGAGCCATTGGTATAAACTGTTAGTGTGATCCAAAGCAATGAAGAAGGCTTGGCTTATATAAAGTTCCTGGCCAAGTTCTCATGCTGGCACAAGTTTTGGTACAGACTGGTTGGTATTTAAAGTTTAAGGCTTGGTGTGGTGATGTACACCTGTGGTAGTGTGACTGTAATTGGCCCCATAAGCTCTTAGGGAGTGGCACTATTAGGAGGTGTGGCTTTGTTGGAGTGGGTATGGTATTGTTGAAGGAAGTGTGTCACTGTGGAGGCAGGCTTTGAGGTTTCATATATGCTCAAGACATGCCCAATGAGACAGACTACTTCCTGTTCCCTGCGAGTCAAGATGTGAGAACTCTGAGCTCTTTCTCTAGCACCATGTCTACCTGCAGGGTGCCTTGCTTCCCTCCATGAAGTTGATGGACTAAACTCTGAACTGTAAGTGAATCACCAAAATTAAATGTTTTCCTTTCTAAGAGTTGCCATGGTCATGGTGTCTTTTCACAACAACAGAAACCCTAAGACACACCTGTAACCCCAGTACTCAGGAGGCAAGGACAGGAGGATCTCTGTGAGTTCCACTCCAGTCTGGTCTACATAGGCCATCTAGGGCTAGAGTGAGACCCTCTCTCAAAACCAAAGCAGCAAACAACCGAAACAAAATGTACTTTACTGTAGGACATATAGCTCATTGGTTAGGTATGTTGATCTTGGTAGCTGAAATAGGAATATGACTAGGCATGGGATCCCAAAAGTTCAGCTTGTCATTTCTCCATGAAAATAGTACATATGTGACACCAACTCATCCCTCCACCAGCAAACTGTTACCAGACTCTTCTTGGAACCTGCTGCCAGACAGGGCATCTAGTCACCTGTTAGATCTCCAAAATCTCTTAGGTTAATTGGGTTCTGGTTTCCTGTTGGAATGAGTCCAGAGTCTTAGAGGTTTTAACATCACCCCGAGTCTGGTGATAGTCTTTTGTAGTATCTGTTAAAACAGGTTATGGTGCTCTTAGAAAGAAGTCAAATGTCATTACTAATAGGAGGAGAAATCATTGAAAGTGGTAGGGCAGAATGCAAGAGGAAATCAGTGCTTTATAAGGCACTTTTAGAAATTTAGCCAATTTTAAGAGTTGGAAAGTTTCAAATTCAATCTGGCCTAAAGTATCCAGGTACAAGTTGAGGTACTTACAATAGTTCCAGTACTGCCCCATGCAGGAAGGACTATTATTTAGGAATTCATGTGCGCAGGAGTTCATGGTCTTGGGCAGTGGAACTGTTGACTGTGTTAACAGCACAGGAGGGGACAGTTCGAAGATCCTGGGTAAAAGCAATTTCCAAATAAGGCTAAATTCAATCCCCAGAATGGACTCTTTAGAGTTGTCCTCTGATCTCCATGTGTATGTTGTTGTATTCATGTATAATACAATCAATAATAAGAAAAATTAAAAACCCAGACTAGGAAAAGTTTCCAACTCTGTATTCACTCTAGATGGTACCAATTCCTAGCAAAGATTCTAGTATTCGTCCATGTTTAGTCCAACCACCAGGATAATTTCTCCTAGTAAATCATACTCTTAGGAATGCCCACAGCTATTATCCTTATAATGAAGGGCTGGTATCAGGGCAATTGCCTCTAAAATAATTTTAAAAAGCCTCTCTCTACACTGTGTTATTTGGGCTTGGAATAAGTCTATTTGTAAGACAGCAAAAGGCATAGTCAGATATCCAAGAGGTTGGTACCTCTAATCTCTAACTGCCAAGACCTGTTCTTATGGCACAAATGAAAATATACCCAGCAGGGGCAGGAATGAGTCATTGCATTTTTTTTTTTGTTAAGATGACTTTCAGTGGAGAGGGAGATAAGAAGAAAGAACACCAAGTCAGTGAGAAAGAAACCCAGGCAATAATTCATTTGGCTTGTGGCTTGTGATGGGAGGAAGTAGATTTTCCAGCTGACCAATCCAAGTGAGATTGGTTACCAACAATAAAGTTTAGCTTTATAAGTAGCTTTTTTTCCAAACCATCTCAAAATACAAAGTTAAATCTAGAGGCAGGAAAAAAAATTAAGGAAGAAACTTCATTGATCTTATTAAGCATATTTATTCCTGAAAGGCTTCAGGACATGATACTGTAGAACAGGCCTTGGTGAAGTTGTAGACAACAGGGAATTATTAGGCTACTCATAACAAAGGCTTCAGCAGGGGTGTCATGGCATATTTAGTATCTCATTACGTTTCAGTTCACAGCCAAGATCTGGAGGTAGATGATGGTGATCTGTGCAGGGAAGTAGGGATGGCTAGGGTAGTCAGAGCAA